TTGGTTGCTTATGCTTTTGGTGTCATATCTAAGAATTGCCTAATTCAAGGTCATGAAAACATACTCTTATGTTTTAAGAGTGTTACAGTTTTAGCTCTTACATTTAGGCCTATGACCCATATTGAGATAATTTTTGTGTAGAAGTTCAACTTCATTGTTTTTCATGTGGATATCCAAAGTTGTTTCAGCAACATTTCTTAAAAGTATTCTTTCTCCAATGAATTGTCTTGGCACTTTTATTAAAAATCAGTTAATCATAAATGTAATCAGAAATCACTTCTGGACTCGAAATTCTGTTCCATTTATCGATATGTCTGTCTTTTTGAAGTACCATGGTATTTTTGTTACTGTAACCTTGTTATTAAGTTTTGAAATCATTTTGCTGATTCTTAAATAGACTTTGAACTGCTCTTTTCAATATCTTCCACTTACCCCCACTTCTAGAGGTATTTGAGTTTTTAGGGAATTTTACAGTATACATTGAGGTGCTTCTCAGTCTTCTTCATTGATTGCTTAAGGTTCGGCTTTCTTATGCCTGCAAAGTCTTTGATCACTCTTTCATCTCCTGTCAAGCCTCCAATTTTTGTTGTTGCTATTTATGGCATTCTTTTGTGCCTTAGAAAGGAAAGGAAATCCTTTATTGTTGCTTTAGGAGGATTTCTGAAGGGAGCAAAAGTAGTTAAGTTTACATTCTTAATTAGGAAGAGTCCTTTAATATCTTATATAAATGATCTACTCTTCAGCATCCACACCTTTAACTCCTGTAATCTGGGTTTTATTTCCTCTGTTTTGCTGAAACTGCACTCTTTAAGGTCATGAATGACAGCTTCGTAGCCAAATTTAGTGTCTTCCTCTAATCCTTACTCCCTTTCTCTTCTCTGTGGTTTCTGACCCTTTGACCATGAGTCATCTCTTTTTTAAGCTTTCATATTTCATCTCCTTGACTCATCTTGTTACCTGATGACTACTCCTTTTCTTTCTACTTTTAATTGTAATACATTCACATTCACTCTCCAGAGCTCTTAATCTTGTAAAACAGAAATTTTGTACCCTATTTTTCCCTCCCCCCAGCCCCTGACAACCACCATTCTACTTTCTGCTTCCATGAGTTTGACTACTCTAAATACCTCATGTAAGTGGAATCATACAGTGTTTGTCTTTTTGTGACTGGCTTATTTCACTCAACATAATGTCCTCAAGTTTCATCCATTTTGTAGCATGTGTTGGAATTTTCTTCCTTTTTATGGATAAATAATATTCCATTGTATACATATACCACATTTTGTTTATTCATTCATTCGTCAATGGACAGACACTTGCATTGCTTCAACATTTTGGCTATTGTGAATAATGCTGCTATGAGCATGGGTGTACAGATATCTCTTTGAGACCCTGCTTTCAAATTTGTTGGATATAGCAATAACTAATCATATGATAATTATGTTTTTACTTTTGGGGGGAAACTCCATACTGTTTCCACATTGGCTGTATCACTTTATAAAAATATGTTTTTATTGATTTCAGAGAGAGGAAGGGAGAGAGAGAGAGAGAGAGACATAGAAACCTCATGATGAGAGAATCATTGATCAGCTTGCATCATGCACGCCCCCTACTGGGGATCTAACCTGCAACCTGGGCATGTGCCCTGACTGGGAATTGAACTTCAACCTCCTAGATCATAGGTTAATGCTCAACCGCTGAGCCACACCAGCCAGGCTTGGCTGTACCATTTTAAATTTTCCCCAATAGTGCACAAGGGTTCCAGTCTCCTTTCCCCCCCTCTACATATTTTTTTTTTTATTTGGAAATTTCATGTTTTATATCAGCTAACATCACTGAATTACTCTAAAATGTCTATTTCCAGCTCTAATCTATTTCTCACACTCCAGTCCCACATTATAATTGCATGCTACTTAACATCATTTGATAGTACTGTGGTCAACTCAAATTCACTATCCCTAAGATTTCTTTTTTCTAAAACTTATTTCTTCTTTGAAAATAGTGGAAATCCTGCTACTTCCAGCCATAGAGGCTTGGTAGTTTAGTCTTTCTCTTATATTTGACCTCACCTTTTTCAGAATTAATATTCAATGGACTACCAACTCCTCGTTGATTCTCATTTTGACATTCCTTTTTCTGTTAACTGTCACCACCCTAGTTCAAGCTTTTGCCATTTCCTTTCCTCTTACTTGTTGTCCTACCTAGGCTAAACCTCACTGAAGTATCATTTTCATTAGGCTATAGTCTGAATACAAAAATAACAAGTGCTCCTTTTTTAAATATAAATGTTTTATCCTGGCATTCAAATTTCCAAATAATCAGTCCTTTATCCTATCTTTTTTGTTTTATGTTTGTCTTCTAGAAACTTATCTTCTCTTTCGTTTTCCTTTTCCTACCTTTCTGAACTTTTTTCTCTTTCTTTGTTTTTATTATTTTAATTTGCTTCTTAAATTTGGTTTTCCCCAAAGCCTATTCCTGGCTCTCATCTCAAACACCATATTTTTCCATGAGTGAAGCTATACCCACATAGATTCAGCTATTTGGGTAGCTGAATACCTAAATCTCTGTCTCCAGCATAGGTCTCCGTTCAAGTTTGAACCCATACATCTACATGCTAATTGGACATCTTCACCTGAACATGCACACGCAATATATATAAAATCAAACTTCCAGAAATTCCCTCTTAAATTGCTGTTATTTTGTGTGGTCTAGTTCCATGAATGACATTATCATTAACTCAGGAATTTGGAGTGATTCTGGAGCCTCTTTTTCTGCTCCTACATCCAAGTAGAGATGCTGTCTTAGGGATTTTACCCTTGAATGTCTCTTGTTCTTTTCATTGCCTCAATGCTGCCGTCTTACCCGGTCACCTTCTCCTGGCTAGACTACTTCAAGGCCTATATGGTTTATGCCTTCAGTCGTGAAGTTCTCCTCCAAGCTTCTACTTTTAAAAAGTACCAGGGTGGTTGTGCTATTGCCTTGCATAACATCCTTTCAACTGTCCTCTTTCACTTGGACAAGGTGAAGGTGCAAAGCTCACCAAATGCCATTCAAGGTTTGTCAGGATTTTGGACCCTGCTTTCCTCTTCAGCCTTCTCTCTCACTGGACACCCTTACCTCCAAACCGTGCTCCACCACTGTTGAGCAAAAACTGCTCTCTATTTTCTTATATTGTTTTCTCTACACGAAATGGGCTCCTTACCATCTCCCATTCTCTTCTGACTGGCAGCACAAACTCACTTTTAAATATTCAGCTCAGGCAACACCTCCTAAAGCCTCTTCTGACTCCCCTTAAGATAGCATTGAGCACTCTCTCCCTTGACTTCTCCACAGGAGACATCTTTAATGTCATCTTTAATGTCTTCTGTGGAGAAGTCGATATATTTTGTTTCATGTATTTATTTGCATGTAGGCTTCTTTCGGAGAGCCTGTGACATCCTTGGAGGCGGGCACTGTATCCCATTCATCTTGCACGCCCAGGGCTCCATTTCAGTGCCTAACAGAAAGTGAGCGCTTAACAAATCTTGTTGAGTTACGCATCTTCCCAAACTCTATTCTAGCGGAAACAATTTATGTATGGTTTCTTGAGTGTACTTTTTTGTTAAGATGTTTTTATTTTTTGAAATACTCAAGAAACTATATAATGCGATAGTTGAGAGCATAGATTTTGGAGCCAGACTGCTTGACTTTATATACTGCCTCGCCTCTCTTTAATTGTGTGAATCTAAATTCTTTGTGCCTTAGTTTCTTCATATATGAAATGTAAATAATAGTTCCTGTCTTGTAAGTGTTTTTGTGATGGCGAATCCCTATTTTACCTAAAAATGTGCTTAGAATAGAAATCAGCAAACGCTAAGCACTCAGGAACATTAGCTAATATTATCATTACTTCAATCAATGCATTTAAACTTGAATTTCCTCAGTCAGAACTGATTTTTAGAGAAAATGCAAGCCAAATAATATTTCTAAAATTAAATCAAATAATTATGCCCCCTCAAGACTCCAGGAACAATTAAAATTCAGTTAATATTAGTTCAGCCTTTCCTGTGTTGAAAATTTTTAAATCTTGTTTTCTATGTCAATAAGCAGTGTCAGCCCCAGGTTTTGTTTAGTTTTGCAGTCAGACAGGCACATTTGGTCAAGAGTATCCCATCCACCCCTCAAGAGGTTGGCAATAACTTCCCGTGACATGGTGACTTTTATGACTTCCTAAAGTTTGAATAAGTATATCAATTGATACATATTCCAGATTTGTTGGATTTGATCTATTAATCAAGGGAGAGGAGAAATTCACTAATCATCAATAGCATCAAAGGAATGACTGAGTAAGCATTTAGTTTCCTTTTCCTTCCCACTTTGTGAGAAAGACTCTAGTGTTTGCGTCTCAACTCCACCCATGTGGTTAGTCAAACATATGGCTACTGTATGTATGTATATGTGGCTAAACCAAAGCCTCACATGTTCTTTACAATTGCCTGAGTATCATCACAAAGCAACATCACACAATCGGGAAGCAGTGCCTTTATGAAAGCCATCACACACACACACACACACACACACACACACGTGCACGTGACACATCAGATCAGAAAAGGCTTACGAATATAAAATAAAGTGGCTTAGGGATTCAGTCGTGCTGATTTTTCTTAAATTATTCCCCATCTTTTGGAAAGAAAGCACTAACCCTTTGAATTCATAGTCACCTAAAGGCTGAGGTTAACGCCAGTAGCAGGTTTGAGAGATGAGGGCTAACATCAGGGGACAGATATTTTCTTTTACAAATCACACCCCATTATGCATTGTTCTCCATCACCCACGTCGGAACGGATACTCGACCTATGAGACAGATCGCACCCTGAGCACAGATAACCCCAGGCTTCAGGCCTGTAATCTGACTGTGGCCATCAACAGCCAGAAATGAGTTTCTCTCTAATCGGCCTGCCATCGGTCCCGTCGCTCACATAAAGGAGCCCGGGGCGGAGGACCGGCACTGCGCTCTTCAGCACCGGGGCTCTGGACAGCGCCCGCGCGGGCCGCCGGGCTCGCGCTCCCTCCGCAGGCTCCGCTCCTGCCCTCTGGTCCCCCTGCCGCAGGGACAGAAAATTGCATCGGGACCCATGCAGCCGGCAATGATGATGTTTTCCAGTAAATACTGGGCGAGGAGAGGGTTTTCCCTGGATTCCGCGGTGCCCGAAGAGCATCAGCTACTTGGCAGCTTAACAGTGAGTACTGAGTAGCGGGCACTTTCTAGAGTATTTCTAGGGGAGCGATGGTCTCTTCCTTCCACGTTGTCAAATGGACACCTGGTGCGGAGCAAGCACACACCCCTCACCTCCTTTCTCGCACCTGGGCACCCTGCCTCCCTCCTCTCTGCCTCTGGTGTCCCTTCTTTCTCCATAAAGTGAAGCAGGTGTACTGATCGCTACCTGCGAAACTTCTTTTCCTCAGAATGTATAAGTGGAAAGCAAAGAAGGTCCTGAACGTCAACGAAAGGTGGTGTAAACCCATGTCGTACATCCACAGCCAAAAAAGTGTCTAGAATCTTGAAAGGCCGTTTATTACGAGAAGGAACAGGGAGAAGAAATGAAATAACTCTTTAGGGTTCTTGCAAGATTACTGTGTCTCCTGTACCCCATTCCATCTCCAAAGCCTGATCTTCAAACACAGAAGTAATATTTTCTATTTTACTCTATAGGTGCTGGTTATTGGGATAAAAGAAAGATTGAGTTTTTTTCCAAAAGTTTTCCTACATTGCTCATTACTCCATTTTGTTTTTTTCAGTTTAATTGATGGAGTAACGAAAGCAATACACCACTTGTTTCAATATTTAAGATAGTTTTTATATTTAAATATTAACAGAATAAGAAAATGATATTTTGCAGGACTTAAATTCTGATTTGAGGTGATAGTCATGGGATTTAATAAAAAAGACACTGAAAGAAAAATGTATTCATATTTCTAGTTATTAAAAATATTAAATGATATTTTATTACTGTACTATCAGACTTTATCAACCAATTATAATTCAGCCTGTATCATAGCAAAATCTGTTTTAATATTGTAGCTTCAACTCCATGCCAGAGGGTTATATTGTACTGGTATATTATTACTGCTAAAAATCTTGGAAAGTAAATCAGGGCAAGTTTTGTAGAACTACTTAAATCAATTTGCAAAAATGAGATCAATAACTGATTTTCTAACATTTAAATATCATGAATATTTGGATGAGAAATTCTATGGAGGAATTTTGAAGTTATAATGTACTACTAGAAGGAAAACAAAGAAAACTCAGTTATGCTACTTAAATATATAAGATCTGTGTGTTAGGCGGTGAGGAGGAGGCAGATGGTGAGAGTAATAAGACATTTGAGCTTTTAATGACTAAACATACTATCAAATGCCAATATCTGCATGAACATTTTTTCTTCCCTGAAGTCTTAAATAATAACTCATAAAATAAATCACTTTAATGATATATGAATCTAGTGAGTGAGGCAATACTAACATGAGAAAATAAAGCCAGTAGAGAAATCAGAGGAAGACAGTGGTAAAACTATTCACTGGGTTCCACAGCTAATGTACTTTTCTCAGTTTCATAAGGAAGTAATAGCTTGTATTGCATCACTGTTTGTCAGGGAGAAAGTTCTCTGTCTACTCAATTCCTCATTTGCATGTGCAAAAAGTACACCCTAATTTTATTTGTCTGTCAAATGTAAGTTCCCAGCTTTTTAATTCTGCATTTCTGACAATGTGATCTGAGTGTCTGGAATCTGCCATTTTTACCTTCGGACTAATAGTCATTACTTAGTCATGTATATAGTATCTTGAATGGCTAATAAAATGTTAGTCTTTTTCAGTTTCTCAGATTCAACTTTTTGTACCAAATGATTAGGTAGTTCTCTCTCTCTCTCCCCACTCTCTCCTTCACCCCACCCACACGTCTTTTCTTTCCTTTCCTTTCCTTTTTACTGTGGCTGAATTTTAACGGCCACTTTTCAGATGTCATCTGCTGACACAGATGGCCTTGTGTGAATACATCCCTTCATGCTGAACTTCTGCAGATAGGCTCCCATTGGCCATGTAGACCTAACTGCAGAAAGTCAGGTTATCAATTTCAGTGCATGTCTGGACATATTTCAGAATGAAATGAATATTTTGTTTTTAAGATTTAATTGAAACGAAAATTATTGTGAAAATATACATTTGGCCTTCTTTTTTTATGTTAAGTAATTAATAATATAGCTTCCATATGAGTCAACTAGGCCAACAGATCAAATTTTATGCTGTAAAATAAACTTAGAAAGGCAGGAATTATTCATATGTGAGATTTTTTTTATTTTATGACAGTCAGATGTTTGTTGTTCTTAAAGTGAATCAAATCTGATCCCCTTTTAATTTCAACCATTGGGTGATATTTTAGAGCATTGGAAAATAATTTCCCAGAGTAAATTAGACCAATATTTAGGGTCAAAAATTATGAATTGACATAGCAACTTCTTGAGTTGATATGATTACTGGGGCTTCCAGCATATGAATGGAATATCTGGAAAAAAATCTAGTAAAAGAGAACCCTGTAATCCTAATATTTGTGTGTGTTTCTGCCTTCTTGAAGCTAAACAAAGCTAACTCTGGCAAGAAGGATGAGAACAAAGGCAACAAGGGAAGCAGCAAAGGCGAGACTGCTGCTGAAAGCGGCAAGACGGCGGTTGTGTTCTCTTTGAAAAATGAAGTCGGTGGATTGGTCAAAGCGCTGAAGCTCTTTCAGGTGAACACGCGAACTATCATAACTTTAAAAGTGACTGTATGCCTGGTTACAAACCTATCATCTGTTATGAAACGTCGCTGAATCCTTTCTGGATAATGTTTGAAAGGTTCAAAGAAACCAGACTTCATGAGTCTTTAGAGGGGAGTTGGTCTGCCAAGCAGTGAAATAAGCAGATTTGTGTGAACTATGTTTTATGAATTCAGAGTTAGCCCACTAGTAATTCTGCAGACCGTTGCCAGCTGAGGCAGTTAGTAATTTAAAAATGTGAGCCTCACACGTGGAAGTGCAAACACAAAAGGGGCCAGAGTATTTTGAAATATCGAGAGCCTGAAGCTCAATTTGATTTAACATTTGAATCATGCCCATGTCCTAGAGACACATTTATTGCATAAAATGGTATACCTGAGTGTAGGCATTTGGTATTCCCCTAAGCCTCATTATTTACTGAACTTACCATTTGTAAAGATGAGTCACTCTCCTTAGATCTAAGATTTCTCTTTCTCTCAAAGAAATGCAGTATCCTTTCCCCAGGCCCAAATGGGTGGTTTGAGCACTGAAGAAAGAGCCTGGTTGAGAATGGAGTTAGAAAAATCCAGAAAAACCATTGCTTTCTTGCCAGGGTACACCTGATGGTTCCCCTATTCTTCAGGAAGCACCGTACCTTACAAATGCATTTTGTGTGTGTGTGTGTGGGGGGGGGCAATGGCTGCTGACTAGCTCAGATAGGGAGCCTAGCTCTTTGAGGTGCCTTGGGCTGCTAGCGCAGTGAAAAGATGGTTGGAATTACAGTCAGAGGATTCAGACCTGTGTTCTCCTGCCTTGGCTAAATCATAGCTGCTTCCTCGGTTCAATTTCTTCATTTGTGAAAGAGCGATAACTCTTCCTACCTAACAAGGTTGATGTGATGAAATAATGTGAGTGAAAATGCTTGGTCAAGTGTACAGATATGAGGCATTATTGTAATGTCTCTTTGATGACTGTAGAGGGGGAATTAGCAGCCCGATTTGGCAAATATTTCCTTGTTCTCTTTTGACCTTGAAGAAAGGATCGGGCACCATAAACAGTGGTAATGGAAATCTGGGGAAATATTTTACACATAATTATATCATCCAGCGCTGTCTGCATACAGCGCCCAGAGGCAGGCCAATTCAATTAGACAGCTGAGTGCGGCGGAAAAAACCCTGGAGAAGGAGTTCGCAGCCCTGCGTTTTCACTTGGCCCTCAGCTAGTCATGGGGTCTTAGCTAAACCACTTAACCCACCTGGACCGCAGTTCCCGCGTCTAAAAATAACCTGCTCTGCTTCCAAGCAGGGGACGTGAAGAGTCCAAAGTGACACAACCTGCGAGAAGACTCTTGAACTTTGGCCTTAATATTAGTCTCACCTTTATTATCTGCCAGTTTAGAAGATGTGGCATTAACGCAAAGGTTAATAAAACAGAAATGTGGCATTTCGTTTCCTTGTCATGGGACTAGGTTCTTTACACAGAGGCCGCTGCTCTCTGGTTGGCCCTGACTCTGACTCGCGCTGGGACCCTCCTGTGCTGGAGATTCGGAGGCCGCCCAGGACGGAGTCAGGAATTGTGCTCACCCTCACAGTGCACCGTCAGAAGCCACGGGGAGGGGTCTGCTTATTTGGGGTGGGTTAGGGTGCAGAAGAGAACCTAGTCTTCAGTTAGGTCAGGGGAAAGGAAGACTACATCCCTGGGGAAATCTAAACCTGAGGTTTAAGGATAAAATTGCTGCTATCCCTCAAACACCTAATTGTAAGGAGACCTTTACCCCGAAATCCATCACGGGGTGGTAATTGCAATAGAACATTCTTGTACAAAGCTAGCCTGGAGGTTGCTGAGAAAGAACAGTTACAAAGTAGTCCCATTTAGGGTTTTGTTTGTTTGCATTTTGGTTTCTCTTGGCCTTCAGAGACCCACACGTGGCCGCTTTTCTTCCTTTTCTTGTCCTACAATGTGAGCTACACTTTGGCCCATGATTCCCTGGATATCAGTCATTTTCGTAACACCGTTCCAATTTCTGCCTCTTGTACTATTTACTTACTTTTGCAAAGATTATTTTTTTTAAAGTTAATTTATACTGAAAATTTATACCACTATAAAATTAGGGGTTTGAATTTTAGTTATGTTTTCTGGGAGCATATGAAAAGAAAAATATAAACCTGAGGGTTATATGATAACATGATAACCTGATCCCTCCCTCTCCCCCCCATGCACACCACCAGGGGATGTGGACTGCTCTGGGAAATGATGATGTTTGTATTATAAGATATTTTGTAGGGACCTTTATATACCTTAATGCCTCCCTCTTTTTTTAAATGTGACAGGAAAACTGATTACAAACTCTCTTCCTATTAATAGAAACACTGGCTGAAAACATTTTGATGTTTTTATCAACCAAAGAGGGAGGAGATTGTCTTTTCTCCCTTAGTGGGCAGTGGCGCCGTGTTTAAGAGTTGAAGGAGCACAGCCCATGGCATCCCTTTCACTGGGCCCCGGAGGAGACTTAGAGATGTTGCTTCTGTTTCCACAGGAAAAACACGTCAACATGGTTCATATCGAGTCGAGAAAATCCCGGCGCAGGAGTTCAGAGGTGGAGATCTTTGTGGACTTCGAGTGTGGCAAAACAGAATTCAACGAGCTCATCCAGCTGCTGAAATTCCAGACGACAATCGTGACGCTGAATCCGCCGGAGAACCTTTGGGCAGAGGAAGAAGGCAAGGCCAGTTTTTGCTTGTCGGGTGCTCTCGCAACCTGACAGATGTTGCAGAGGGGAACACGCGATCTGTGAGCTAATATTTTTGATCCTGCACTGTGTTTCCAACAGAGCTAGAGGATGTGCCCTGGTTCCCCCGGAAGATCTCTGAATTAGACAAATGCTCTCACAGAGTTCTCATGTATGGTTCTGAGCTTGATGCTGATCACCCAGTAAGTGTCCAGTAAAATCCATTCCACACGTGCTCTTCCAGCTCCACCCGTGTGCCAGGCACTGTGCCATGTTCTGTGCTGTAATGCTTTATTGTAGAGCAATTTATTATTTATTCCCCATAACCGAGAGCAGAATTTTTGATGAGAAAGCTTCCCTGTAAATACGGGTTGGCTGGAAGCAGGTTAGAAAGATGGCATTTCCGCAAAGCATTCATATTTTAGAGGGTTGGATAGAGGAGGAGATTCCAGACCTGGGAGATTATTTCTGTGGAATCAGACAGTCTGAAAATATGCTTGCAGATGGTGACCCTTGGAAGAAGATGAACTGAAATTGATCGCTCTTTGGGGAAACTAGGGAGTTCTTGGCATTATGGGGCTCAGTGAGAGAAATAAAATTCTCCTTGCTATTTTCCTTGACCGGAGGTAGTTAGGAGTAGAGTAATGGAGTGGACTTCAGTCTCAATGGAAAGGCAGAGGGTTTTAGAATAAGGCCGTGATGGAAGACGCATCTCTTCTCGCATCTACCTGGAATCTATTTACCACCAACTCTCCCCTATGCGGATAAAAATGACCACCTTGAAAGATATACGATACGTAGGTAAGCATTTCCCATTATTCCCTCCCTCCCCCTTTACATTAGTTTTTATTTAACGCAAGAGACCTGGAGCTTCTTTATGGTCAGAGTGAAGTACAGTTAACAGCCTGGGAGAAATAAGCAGTGTCCTCATTCGTTACAAGCATTTCTTCCCCGGTGGCCCTCGTCCATAAACAGGCAGATAAAAGGGCGAAACACAAGCAGATCTGTCATGCTTACAGGAGTGTTTGTGGTCTGAGGGTAATGGCTTATAGATATTCGTTTTATTTAAGTGGGGGAATCTGGAAATCTGATAGTGGGACTGTATGCGGTCGTTCTCTAAGTGTGGTCCCGGGACCAGCTGCATCAGCAATGCCCAGGAGCTGTGGTAACAAGCCCGCACTCAGCCCTGAGAGCTCTGCTTTCCAGGGAACTAGGACAACTTCAGCAGGAGGAAAATTTTCAGTCAAACCAGCCATTTGGCATAATATACCAATGCAAAATAACTCATAACATATCATTCATACAAATGGTCAAACAGACCTAATTCAATTGCATTATTTTAAAAAAGTTAAATTCACTCAAAAACACAATGTGTCATATTTGCCATCCTAGCTTAAAATTTCAGAATAATTCACAGCAATTCACAGGTAAGGCTCCTGAACATTAGAAAAACACGCAGAAGTGCAGTCAGCCATCATCCATTTGTCATCTAGCCCTTCCCCGCCCCCAGAGGCGTCAGAATTAGCACAGAGGTCTGATTTCAGAGGTCAGCAGTGAGAGGACTGCCCAGACACCAGCTGTTAACTGGCAGGATGACCTTGGGCAAGTCCCTCTACCTCTGTGCCTCAAATTCTTTACAGAAAAAGTAGAAATAAAATGCTTATTGACCTCAAAGGGGCATTTGAAAAGCTTAGTTAATAAAACAAGTAGAATGCATTTTGGCAAGTAAATACTTAATCTAGGAATGGAAATGCTGTATTAAATCATCCAGATCAATGCCTGGACAGTAAAGGATTTCTTGCTCACCTCTCTCCAAATGCTCCCCTTAGTCTAGGTTGAAAATTACTTACCTGGAGAAAGGGGGTCAGCCCTTTTGATGGAACAACCACAGGAACCACTGACCTTGCTGTGAAAAAATGTGTTCAGTACCCAGTGTACGTCGTCCTGTGCTTAATTTTGTTCCATTATTCCTAATTACACCCACCTTATGATACCTTTTCTTATTTTCTTTGCAAGCACTTTAAATAATTGCAAGTACTTAGCAACCTCCTACCTCACTCATTTTTTTTTAACTACACATATTTCTTTTATAAGCATACCAAATGTTCATTATGCAAAATGTGATATTGGTAGGTTGATGTTTTTATCTTATTATTTGATGAGGATGGAAATGTTGTCTAAGGCCTTTTTGTGCTTCAGAATAATCCCAGTCCTGAGAGGGGTTATTGTGCGAGGATGAGCCCTCTAGTGCCGGGTGGCTCCGGAGGTGCTTGGAATATGAGTCCGGCTGCTGAGGCTCCCTAGAAAGTTAAATATCTGTCTAGGTCAGGGCCTCTCAAACTTTAATGGACAAGTCACCTGGAATAATATCTTCTCAAAATGCAGATGGGAGTCCTGGTATTCTAAAGAGCTCCCATCTGAGGCTTATGCCAGAGGTTTGGGGACCACACTTTAAGTAGCAGGGATCTGGACTGGGAGGGTCTTTCAAAGTGTGGTTGAAGGTCCACCCACAAGGCACTTGTTAATGAGCTCTAACGTTTGAGAACTAATGCCCTAGCTCAGTGATTCTCTGCTTAGCTTTCCATTCAAATAATCTGTGGAGAATTAAAAATTATAGTGATGCCAGGGTCTCAGAGTGCTTAAATCAGAAGTTCTGGGAATGTGGTGAGGTTTTGAGTGGTATTTAAAGCTCCCCGGGTGATTCTAAAATTCCACCAGGACTGACTTCTTTGGGATAGCTACTTGAGTGCGCATGTACACTTAGCTGAGCACACCGGGGTGCCGGCCCGGTCTTCAGTTTCCCTTGATTTAAACTGAGAGAGGAAAGGTGGGGTGTCCAGCAGATACTTTCTGGGTACTAGGGTTGCCAAATTTAGCAAATAAATATATAGGATGCTCATTTATATTTTAATTTCAGGTAAACAACAAATAATTTTTTCTTAGAAGTATGCCCCAGATATTGCACAAGTGTCCTGTATCTGCATTTGATCTGGTAGCTGCCTCCCTGGCTTCCGTCCAGAGTGACGCGATGCTGTGTCGCTGTGGTCGCCGGGGTAGCCAGCGTCACTGTTTTATCCTGGAGGCTCTGGATTGCCACACGTGTGTGCAATCACCGCCACGCTGGGCTAACGAGGCGTGATGAGTGAGTCACTCTCCGCACGCCTGGAAAGGTGCAGGTGTTTGCTGAGGAGCGACAATCAGGATTCTTCAGGAAGCCCAGCGGATGATGATGCTGTTACCATGGTGTCCGGCTTGGCAGGGACTCGGGGAACAGATGCTGTGCTTTTCACACGACTCTCTTCCTTGAGCCCTGGCCTGCTTTCTTTGTAAGCAGTAAAGGTGCTCGGATCTCTTCAGTGTCGCCATCCCGGGCTGCCTGGTGTTACTAGGGTGTTGAAGCTCTCTAGCATGAGCATATGTCCCGTCTGCAGCAGGAGTCTCCTTTTGAGGTCACAGACCCATTTGTGAATGTGGTAACTATGGTCACTAAATTTTGTATATACTAATTTTATGGTTTCACAAGCCTGCCAGTGAGCCCCAGTTTGAAAACTCCCAATTCATAGCAAAGACAGTGCTAGCTTCCAGGGCAGGAAACCTCATTTCTGCAGGGTGTTTGGGCAGTCTCAGGGCACTGATCTCTCTCCCTGTTAGTAACTCTCTTGTCATTCCTGAGAGCAAGGCTGTTGGCAATGGAAGCTCGTTGTTTCTGTCTAGCGGAGTCCTGGGAAGTTTTCTGACCTGAAGGCCAATTCTCTTTCAGCCAGGACACAGAATGGAATGGTTTTTCTATGGGTTTGAGTTCCTGTTGAACAGCCCACCTTGCAGAAGTGTCTGAGTTGCAGCAGAAGGTGGCTGGGCCTGTGTGGGCCTGTGGGGGCCCACTTTTTGCCTGGCCTTACTTTTCACCTGGCCTCCCTTCTCAGAGTGGCCACTGCTTCCTGCTTATCTTTTGGGGCTGCAGCAGTAGAAAGTTAAATGGAAATAACTCCTTCTGGGCTTCCAGCAGTTTGAAGAAACACCCCCTGAAGAGAAAGAAAATGGGAAGGCTGTTGACTAGAGGAGAGATTTTTGAGTAAACCAAGAAGTCCTCTCAGAAGAATTCCACTTGACTGAAGAATGACAGACAGGATGGTTAATTTCCCAGGTGTTATGATGATGGATCAAAGTCTTATATTTGCTAAAGACTCATCAGAATCATGGGAACTCAGGGTGGAATGGAGCAGACCTGCTATCCTGTGCATGAATCCCTTAAAATTGATTTTGCATTGTGTGGCTGTGCTCATAAAATACAGCAAAACCTCTTTAACTCATACTAATTTGGGGATTTGATAATTATTGTGAACAACAGAGTTTTAAATAAATGTACATTTATTGGTCATTTACAGAAAGCAATTAAATTTAGGTTAACTTACCAAATAGGTTAAAGGGACCTGTTTTAATGGAAATGATAGATTAATATGTGATGAAGACCAAATACATGCAAGTGAAAACCAAAAAATATTGTTCACAGTATCAATTTGCTTAACTAAGCCATTCTGCCTACTTAGTGGAAAGGTAAACTTTAGCCTGAATTCCCACACAGCCCAAATTAGTACAGTCTCGGTTTAATGAGGTTTTACTGTAAGCACAATTCGCTTCTGCCTGTGTCATCAAGATGGTCATACAAGGATAAAAATTTACATTTGAATTGAACACTCAGTCAACACCGCTGATTTTCTTTTAGGCCTTCTGCAGCTCACTTTTTGGCGCTCCGTTAAATAACATAATCTCTTTTCTGTTTAAGGGATTTAAGGACAATGTCTATCGGCAGAGAAGAAAGTACTTTGTGGATGTGGCCATGGGTTATAAATAGTAAGTACCTGTGTGACTGTTTTCTGCAACTTGTCGCTGGCTCGTTAGAAAAAACACATGCTGTGCTAAACAGACCCGTCTTCTCTTCACTTTGACTTTGCCGGAGGCAGACATGAACCACCTTAAACACTCACCAACTCCGTGGGCTTTAAATGCCAACACTGATGTTTGACACCCGAGTATGATTGTGAAAGAATGAGACCTGCGGGCCACAGGCCAAACACTACATTTTCACCACTGTGTCCGCAGCTCCACTCAGGAACCGTTTTTGTCCACTCTGCAGGGCCCAGAAAATGTATTTTCATTTTACTTTGGAGTTGACTTTTCAGTAACTTCCTTCAATGTCTAGCTTCCCCAGTGAGAGTAGGGGAGTCAGCAAGGATGGCCGAAGGGCTCATGTAAGCAGAATAATGAAATGTGTTTGCTTTGTGTGGAAAGGGAAGCTTCCTGTAAACTGGAGGGTTTTGGGAAGAGTTTCATGCCCATTCCTGGATCAGGGTTGGGAGGAAATGGAAGAGCCTCAGGACTGGGACGAGGACTGTGCATTGTGCATGGTATTAAGTGGCGGTGACAGAGTGTTTGTGACAGGCAATAATGTAGTGTGTTGATTGCAGGCCATGTCTAGAAAAATGGAGTAAATGTTAGGCCTCTATTTATTCTGCTCACACTAATAAAACTTGTAGACCATCACAGCGCTGTCTTTACTTTGTCTGGGATGTGATCAGCCACATAAATCTTGTCATCAGAACAAAATATAAATCCAAAACCGGTAGGAAAGATTCTTTTTTATTCTAGTTGAGATTAGGTGAGAAACTCGACTATCCTGTGGGACAAGTTTGTCCTTGGTGAGAATTTAGGACATTATATGTGTTATACAAGGTATCAGTGTTATCTTCCTTTCTCTCTCTCTCTCTCCCTCCTGTCTCTTATACACATC